GCCTGGGCTTTCACAGCAAATATATATATAACAGGCCTATATTAAATATATCAGCCTTTTTTTCTTTATATATTTATATTATACCCTAATCCCATATATTTTCCATATATTCTCTGTGCATATTCTATGTATTTAATATCTAAACATATGTATATACATTATATACCATATACATATGGTATATGTATAATGCGATATACGCGCGTATCTGTGTCCCTCTGACTTCCCATAGGTGAATTTGGGGTGCCCCACGGTGTGGATCTGGTGAGCTCCATCCCCATGGCAGCGGGTGGGATTTACCACCTTGGAGCAAGCCTGGATTCCCCAGGAGCTAGTGGAGGTGACGACTGCGGCCGAAGGAGAGGGAAGAAAAGAGAGATTTTATGTGAAAAGTGTTGGTTGCATTTTCAATACCGGGCAAAATAAATCTGTCTACTGCAGTATTAGATGAAGCTAGACATGCCACCTCCTATACTGACCACATATGTTTTCTTTATGTTCTTTCATTATTGATTTATTTTCGGGCAGGACTTATCGTGTAGCAGCCTTCTGTGCTTCCAATCTACATCCTTTTTTTCTTTTTTTATTCTCCTCTGGCATTTTAATATATTCTTTCAAAGCCTAAATCTAATTACTATTCTTTAAATTTAATGTTTGTGAAAAGAAACAAGCAAACAGCTTGAGGGGGAGATTAAAATGATTCGTCAGGACTGTTACATGAAAAACAGAAGTTCGATATTTCTATTTTTGAAATATGAGCTATTCTGGAGGATATTGATTGGGCCTACTGCTAGATCCTGCTGCGGATCTGGAACGGGCAGCCCTGAGCCAGTGGGTGCCATGGTGGCTCCTACTCGCCAGGCTGGTTGGGTAGAGGGTTTTCACCATGAGAGTTTGATCCACAAGACAACGAGCTGCTCAGACTGTGCCCTAAATTAAAGTCAGGCAAACAATGATCAAAAAGCTGGTGCAGGAATTTATGGAGGGCTCAGGTTCAGCCTCCTGCGAGCGGGCTCTGGCATGTGGCCACAGTTAAGGCACGGTGGGAAATGAGTCTTTCTGCCAGATGAAAGGTCTAATTGAATAGTCACATTTTATTTTTATGGGATGGAAAGGCCGTCTGACACCGATGATTTCAAAAATTATGAAAACTCCAGCTTG